CCCGTGTTCTAAGATTTGTTTTTTTCCTATTCGCACGATTGGCAGGTTTGGAAAAATAAATATATTACATTTTTATTATACCTATATATAATTTTCGGTTGAAAAATTCTTTTTTTTTTGTTGTTGCACATGAAATTTGTATTTAATGAAGTAACCAAAATCAGATGTGCATATATGTTCACCAAAAGTTTATAAATGCGTTTTACTTTACATTTAAATCGTATGGTACCAAATATTATTAGATATCGGTTTTAATTGACAAACATTTTCACGTTTTTTTTTTACATTTATTATATAACCTGATTTTTTTTTTGGTAAATTAATTAATAGTTTTTTACTTTTTAGTTTTAATTCATTTTTACAAATTAAAATTATTTGTTAAAGTATATACTGTACATAAGATGTATCATCGTTTTAAATATCCTATTTAGTTTATTTATAAAGAAAGATTAGTGGCTAAATTAGCTGACATTTCTTATCATTATAGTATTACATAAAACTTGAAAATAACAAACTTTGTGAAATTATAAATTTGAAATATTAAAAAAATCTTGTAATTAATAAAATTAATAAATAATATAATTTACAAATTATAGCCAATACTCCCTTTTTATAATCTTATCACGTGATATGATGTACAAATTTTAAAGTTTTCCCGAGTTTAAACTCTGCATTGACGATATCTTTCGCAGGATAAAAAATATGGGGTTAGCTGTAGTCGTATGGCCCTCTTTCATTTCTTCTATAAAATACGTTTAATTTTTATTCTAAGATAAAAAATAAAGAAGGGCACGTGATACTCTGAAGCAACGAATGTCAGCATAACAATTATAATAACCATTCTTAAATATTCCTTTTACAGAACTTTGCGATTCATGCTAGTAATAAGGTCAAAAAGCCATTATAATATCTATCTATAATTTTGCTATTTGCAGTAAACCATTAAATTAAATCATTACAGGACGGTTTTAATTGACACAATTGTTGGTAAAGAATTTAAAATTTTTTAATGATATGTATATGATATTAATATCTTACATTTTTATATAAAAAATAAATATTATAATAAATCTTCGTCAAATTTAATTTAAACGTTTTACGATCAGTATCTCTGTTTAATAGCTATAGCATTTGTCTTAAAGTTCTAGCAGTTCAAATCTAGTTTTATGTTTGCGACCTGTTTCTAAATTTATAGCAATAGCACTGATCTCAATCTCTCCAAAAACTAATAAAAATAAAACAGGTCTTAGACCTAGTGTTATAGGTAATTTAATAGACCATTTACCAAGTAGTTTCACACCAGGAGAATCACAAAAATCTGCATCATGTTCTTCGGTAATATAAATATCTAAACCCATTTTTCTTTGAAATATACAGCCTGGTGTAAATATTCTTGAAACTACTTTATTAATCGGAATTTCTTTCTCGCATTCTATTAATTGTGAGAATTCAATAACCTGATTACTACCGGGAAGCTTTCGTTCTTCCGGATCGTCTGATTTCCATTTACGAGCGACATCAGTTCCTAGTATCGACAAAGAAAATGTCAATTAAATATTATAATTACGAAACTTCAAACACATTTCATAGTCTTTATTTACCATATGTCCATTTTAATACACGAGTGGCAATGACTTCACGGTTCAATCCATATTTTACAGCTAAAATTAATAAAATCATGAAATTAATAAAGGAACTATGTATGAATCGTAATTATGTATATCTAATATAAATTACCTCCTTCAACAATTGCCGTTGCAGGATGTTCAGGAAAATATATTTTATTTTGCAATCTATCTTGGAATTTTTGACTAATCAATTCTTGCAAATATTTAGATTCGCTGAATCCACCGACTAACAACATCGCTGAAACATCATTACTTTCATCAAGATGTTTACTAATCAATTCTATAATTTTTTCTATTACCGGATCGAACATTTTTTTAACATCATCAAATTTCAATTCAATATTCCATTCTTCTTTTTCCATTTCAACGCGTTCAGATCCTTTAACATATTGCTTAATATCCGGAAAATATTCTTTTTTGGAATATTGAAAAAAAAATTTGTTAGTGATGATGAATGCTAATAATGTTAATCAGAGACTCAAATTCGATTTTTGTCGGTTACCTGTTAAGTCTAATTCAAATGGTTTAAAATCATTTTCTTGCCCAGTGAACGGATATTTGGCACGTCTACAAAATTCCTGTACCGCATATTGTAATTGACTATAATGAATTTTCCTAATAAGATCAATTGCTGATTGACCAACTTTACTAGCAAGAAATTCAATAAAATTATCATCAACAAAACTTCCACCACAATCACCGCCTCTACTTTTGATCGTTTCACCAAGTTTATTATCCTTTAAGAGTCTTCGAGTTGTTAAGTCAACGGTACCACCGCCACAATCAACAAGCATAAATGTTTCTAAAATCAAAAAAAAAAAGTGAAATAATCTTACATATCAAACAATAAGACTTTTATTATTTACTTACTTTCAACACCGACATTCAGATCTTTTAGGAAACTCATACAATTAATTGCACCAGCCTCGGCTAAATAAATATCCCGTGTAAATAAGTGTGTTAAGTAATTATCAACTGATGATTAGTACTTACGCTCAGTTGTAAATTTCAAACGTGGACTAGTCATTTGCTTAATTAGCCCAGCTTTAAACGCACATTCGCGCATGATGGTTACACTACGATTATCGAATTCAGTTGGTACCTATAATAGGTGCAATAATAATTAATTCATACAGGAGCTTGTGGTACTTTGAAATTAAAATCGTAAAGAAGTATTACCGTCATAATAATCAAAACTTGTTTGAAAAAGTCAATTTTACGAGATTTTTCTAAAAGATTTTGCATAACTTCGCGTATTTTTGTAAGATAATCAATTATAGCTTTTTTATAATCTAAACCTTCTGGTAAATAAATTTTATCCGTTTTTTTATTCGGACGTAATTTTAGTTTAAACCTTTCTGCGAGTTTAAAATCACAAGCTTGTTCTTTATTCTTTTTCTTTTTATTTTTCTTATTATTTTTTGATGAGCTTGATGAGCTAGCCATTGCGGAATATCCCCAAGATATAACATTAAATGAATCATCATATTTTAACACTGTTGGAGTTTTATAATCACGACCAGAATACTCTTGCCATTTCTCATGTACGTATATATTTGATGGATTTGATTTAGTTGCGTAAGCGAATCCCTATATGATATTTTTTAAAAAAAAAATATTGAAAAAATTCTGGAACAAAAAAAAAGAGCTACTGATCGGATATCCTTACCGAATACGTAGTTCCGAAATCTAAAGTAAAATAAAAAGAATTAGTCTTTCTTGGCTTCAAGTTTTTAAGAATATATTTGTAATAATGGAATACACTAACCTATAGCAGCAACCACACGAATATTCTTGTCATCATCGTCAATAACAACATCATCACTTTTTTCATTTTCTTTTTCGTCATCTGGCATTTTAGCTCTAGGAATTATACGAATAAAATCGTTGTCATCACTATCATCTGACGTGTCATCATCATCATCATCATCATCATCATCTAGCACTATATTATTCATAACACGAACAAGAACGTTATCGTCGCCTTCGTTATCCGACATCATTTAGTTACTGAGTTGCAGCTGCAGTATAATACTATAAATCGAAGAAAAAAAATTTAATGGGAATAAAACTAATCGCTGCATTTTTATATCAAAAAATTTATGATGTTTATCGAAACTAAAAAGAACAATACGCAAATACGCATAATTTTATAAAATTAACGATTTTCTCATGAGGTAATATTTTGATCAAATGGCTACATGAATTAATATAGAAACTTCCCGATAAACGTATAATTCCAGTAGTTCTTTCCTTTTTTGGTAAATCCGGTCTGTTAGGTTTGTAATAAATTCGTAATTGATTTAATAAAAAAAAAAAAATGATCATCTTCCTCTTTTCATGAGAATTTTTAACTAAAACTATTGTTATCTTGTTTTGGGAACATTTATGTTACTTTTAAAAGTACCAATAAAAAAGATTAATCGTAATACTGAAAAAAGTGGCTTAGAAAACGCAGGTTTATGATTGTTACACTAATATTCCATTTTTGTTACCAAAGAACATTTAAATAAGTACAAGTACTTCAAACACAACTTTTATTCAATCAATCAACCTGTGGCCTAAAATAAAATTGGTAACATGGCGAACGAAACTGTAACCGAGATGAAAGAATTACAAGATCGTAACAAATATCTTGAAGATGAAAATGCCAATTTAATGATGATGTTAGAAGAATACGAAGATAACATTGAATTATTAAAGACTGAAATTCAGTCATTAAACCAAAAGAATGATGATCTAGAAGTTGAAGCATCAAAGTATCAGTCGGCCCTTGGAATAGCAACAAATTTTGATTATAATGATGATCAAAATCTTAATGTTGAACTCAATGAAGATATTTTAGCATTACATGACACTTTAGAAAATTATGTTACAAATTTGAAGCCTAAAATAGATGTTAATATAAATAAAGCAAAAGAGCTTTTACGTAAATATAAATGTCAAATAAAGATTTCCGATAAAGAACCAAACAAACCACTCATCAAAGCTGTATTACAGCGGTATGTACTTGAAGAAATACTTGATAAAGCGGAAACTTATTTCACAAGTTCAAATAAAGAATGTTATCTTGAGTCAGATATAGTAGCATCAACTACGAATTTGACTGGTCTAATGGAAAGACTTCATAATAATCGTCTTGGTGATGATGAAATAACTCGTCTTATACCAATAAGATTACGTCAACAAGTTTATATTGCACTTGGCACTCGAGGATTTAATGATATCAAAGAATCCATAAGTAAATATAATAAACATAACTTTATTGATGTTATCTCGAAAAAAATCAATATGATGATGGATGAATATCGTGATATTAAAGATATTGAAAAGAAGAAATATGTAAATGCGCTAGCAGAAAATTTAGTCCGAGATGTCGTTAGAATATTTTATTTTCGCTTACCCATTCAAGAACCAGTGGCTCAGTATCGTTGGTTTAACAATAACGAAAAAATCAACAACATCTTCATGAAAGGTAGTTGGGATGAGAATGAAATTGATGACTTGGTCGTTGAAGTTTGTTCATTTCCGATGATTTATAAACCAGATGATGATGGTGATAAAGTTTGTACTCCCGCAAAAGTTTTTCCACGTCATTTTATTAAAAAAAGCCTAACAGAAGAATGTATGGATGTAATAGGCAACTTCATGAAGATGGTTAAATCGGATGATAATTCAGCTCTAAGTCTGCAAGTAGATGAAAACGAATTTGAACAAACTGGTTCAGCTAACTCTCATGTGTCAAATTAAAAGCAATTATTAATAAATGAAATCATTTAAACAAATGATATTCACGTCAACTCAACTGCTAATTGTATATTCACAAAAAATATTTTTTTTATTTATGACAAAAAAGTTATCATAGTAAAATAAACCTTTTGAAATTGTTTTCTTAATTTTGAATTTTCTTGATTGATTTCTTACTGCATTGCTACCATACATAATATATATAAATAATCATAATTAATACCCGTTACCACCATGGTACGCCTCTATCCTACCATCGAAGGTTGATGGATGATCCATCCAATTGTTCCTCGTTAAGATTTTAAATTATACTCATTCCAATTACAAGATTCAAAAGAATATGTATTTAGTATTGTTATTTATTGTCACTACCTCCCTGTGTCGGGATTGGGTAATTTGTACTGCAATCGTTGGATGTGATAGCTGTTTCTCATTATGCTTGTAGCGCTATACCTGATTATAAAACGCCTATTGAAAAAGAATTAATAATTTGAAATTTAAACAAATTTAAGAAATACAGTATGTAAAAAATTTACCTTTAATAAGTCCGTCATAATCCCGCCTAGAAGTAGATTTAAAATGGCAATTAAACACATAATTCTAATTGAAAACATATTCTCCTTTTACATCCCGGGTCAAAGAGGTAAAAAAAATACTCGTACCCTCGTACCATGCTCTCATCAATATATTTAAAAATCGTTGAAAAATCGATATATTAATCGTAATTTTTCCTACAATTCGCTTTGATATAAAGTTAGGAAAAGTCTTCTAATCAAAGCCGTCTTTTATTAAAAAAAAGGAGAGAAAATTTATATTAAAATTATACTACATACTCTATTTACTGTATATATAAAAAGAGAAAGAGTAAAGTATACCATGTAAGAACTTAATACCGTGAAAATATTTCTGAGCTTGAACTCGCATTCTCCAACTATGGCCCAAGTTAGAGATTTTGTAACTCAAATTGCCGTTAAATAAAATTTTTAATCAATCAAACGACTGAGCTACTTACAGAGTAATTCTGGTTTGAAGGCTACCGTTGCATTCAAATCAACATGAAATCTTTGTTTAATTAGTTTAAGTAAAATTTTGAGTAAAACAACTATCTTCCAACACCAAATTTACGGTTTTATTTATGAACTTACCAATTTCTTGAACAATGTCGATGATGTCAAAAGTTTTCTTATTATTAGTCTTATTGTCACTCTTAAAGCTTTATAACAAAACCTCCATGCTTGCCTACTCTTTAAGGCCTCACTTCAATCTTAAAGGTGAGATATAGGTATTACGCTTGAGCGTTATCCATTTTCAGGTCTAGTTCATTCGGCGGGTTTTATTTGCCCATAATGACGGATGATAAAGTCACAAAACCTGTGTCTCTATCATAGTAACTTTTTAAACTTCATTCTTTATTGGCCAGGAAGAAGCAAACCTTTTATCTAACATCGCTATATATCATATTTTAAAAAATTTTTTATTTTGCATTGAATTATGATTCAAATTTCCAAGGTTCATATGTGTTTTTCTTTACGTTCACGAGAAGCCCTTTGGTTGGTTGGTTAAGGTTTGAACGTGTGCATTTTAGTTGTTTTTCATCATCCTTAGGTCACTAATCGATTAACTAATCGATAACATGACAATTATATCATTAAAAATTATATGCTTTAGTGTGAATAATTTTAATGGTTATATAACTTAGGTTGGCTATAATATGTTCTTCGACCTTTTCCTTCTAGTCGGTCGCCACATAATTGAGAATTCTTGTATTCATCAATCACAATAAAATTGTGTTAAAAAATTTAAAATTGTAATTTTCACAAGCTTTTTATAAAAGAACCATTTATTTTCCCGTAGATCATATCCTTTTTAAAAAGTTTTTGTTTCCAAGGATGGAAGTTTTGAGATTGGCATTGGCTAAAAAGAAAATCTTTCATAAATAACGTTCACAATAACATTTCTTTTTAACGAATAAAAAATTAAAATCTTCCCACCTGTAATAAAATCTTTTTTTAATTACTAGCTAGCGGATTTATTATTCCACCATTTGGTTAGTGTATTTTCAAACATTTCCCCGATACGTACGTAAATATGAGCTTCAGAATTAGATTTCAGAATTAATTATTTGTTCGATTGTTCAAATATGATATAATTATGAGAAAATACACTTAAAAAAGCATGATTTATTGAAGATTCAATATATATAACGAAACGTACATGTAACGACGTATCTATCACATGATTTAAACACGTGATATAACGTCAAACCTGGGAAAATTACGTGCAAAATTTTTCTAAGTTTACCAAATAATGTATATTTTCATCATATTCGTTCATATCCAATAAAGAAAAATGAGTGTTTCTTCTCCAGTTCAAGTTTTAAAATCATTTAATTCTTTTATTAAATCATTCCAAATATTCCAAATGTACTCCAATTATTTCATTTGCAGCAGATATTGTAGGTATTGACTGGTTCAACACTTCGTAAAGTGTTTGTTTGATATGTAGTAAATTTCTAGGTATTTTTTATGTAAACTGATTACTAGTTTACAACATTTTTATTTCTAAAAGGGTAAACCCCATTTAAAAGTTTCCTTTCGCCATTGGTATTTGGTAATTTATCATTTACCATAAATTACTATAAATAACGTATTTAGCAACCCTGATTTCATCGTTTTCCGATCTCTACTGTAAGTAATTGAAAAGAAGAAGAATAATTTTAAAATTGCTGCGCCATCGGCCCGTTAAAAAAATCTGATAAAAAGGCGTAGCTTGCCGCGGTTGCTGATCATCCGGCGGCTCAGACATGGCGATCATCGCCTGGGTCGCCTGGGATCTGGGATTCTCGATTAAACCAGGTCCGAAGGCTACAGTTTTGTGGCTAATCAGATCTTATACATCATAATCGTAAAGTCGGATAATTAAAAAAATGGAATCTCGATAGTATAAATATGATACCCGAAAAATTTATTTTAAATTTATAAAAATTTTTAAACTATGTGGGAATTTGAAACTAATGGTACAATAAAACATATTTTGAGGATTGATGAAAATCCATCTTCTATGAACAAATGGCTAATATTTATCACAATATTTTCTTCAATATTAGAAGCAGTATTAGTTCCAGTATTAATTTTGTCGATATGGTTAATTATTTACAAAGTAAAACGTAAAATGAATGGTTGTGAATTTAGATTGTGCATGCAGGCCACACATAGTTCTATGTTTAAGCTTTTCATAGATTTATTTTCCAGATATGACAAATCATCAAAGGGAATGCTTGTATTTATTATGTTACTATTAATAATGAATTTATTAGGAAAAAATATACCAAATATTTTGGTTGCAAACGTTATTGGGATACATAATTTTACAAAAATTGTACATCATAATATGGATTTGTTTAAAAACGATCTAAATTGCACGTACGTCTCATGTACTTCTGATCTAGAAGATAATAATTTTGCTTTGGTTTTAAATTCCACTACATTAGAAAATACTATGCGTACACATAACGTGAAAACCGCTTATTGGGATTTAAGTAATAATAATACTTTGGATGCAATACGTATCAGAGTCAACACTACGTCATGTAACTTTACAATAGGTGACGGAATTGATAGTGTAGTAAGTAATAATTTAGGGAATGTAACAGATGTGCCTGCACAAGGTAGATTTACAGGTTCTTACGGTGGATTATCCACCGTAGCAAAGAGAGATGTTGTTTTAGGAGCTACACCGACTCGAATTTTTTTAACAACCGATATAACGGACAGATGTGACATACCTTTGAATATGTTTTATATTTCTCCCAATTTTGAACCTAATGTTTATAAAATGGCTAATTGGTTAGTAAACGATAGTGGATATCATACAGACCAAGCATATAATCGTACATGTCGAATGAAAATGGAATGTATCGCAATTCCTGAATGGAAAAAAATGAAAATAGTTGGGAATACGCCAGATAATATAAAATTATCGGAAGTAAATTTTAATAACAGCTTAGACAAACTCAAAGAAACATTTTCTAACAATGTGTCGGATTATAACGTGAATGGAAAAGCCTTTGGAGAAAGACTTGTTGATGAGATTATGATTAAAATGCAAACAATAACAACAAATTGGAGAGAAATTATCAAGTTCCAAGGAAATACGCACAATTACAATTTTTTGGATGAATATGAACGAGTAATATCACAATCATTGGTATCATCAATACAATCTATGTCGAATAATATCAATGTTGATGTTGATGAAATAGAGAAATTAGAAGCTCCGGGACTTTGGATAGAAATAGCTATTTTAACACTCGTAACATTTTTTGTTTGTAGTATTTTATTGTTAATCTTTACAACTAGAAATGAAAAAATGTTACTACCACTTAGCCCATTGGATTTTGGAATCGTATCTAATGCTATTTTCAAGGAAGACAGTACAAAAACTTCCTGGCCATTTGAACTGGATTATTCTCATCAAGATAAATCTAAACATTTAGTTACGGCAAATGAGGTTAACTGATTATATTTTATGATAATTGTAAATTTTATGATGAAATTCAGTTGTTGTTAAGTAATATTTAATATAAATTGTTGCACGATATACCATTATATAACAATAAAAATTTTATTTTTGCTATTTAAAATGACGATAATAAATGAACAAGTTTTCATGACTTGGATCATGTGCATTATTCATGTAATTTTTTTTAGCAAGATTGGCAGTTATTGCCATTTTATAGTTTTACCTTTATGTTATCCTGCCCTTAATGCACGAAATGAAAACATAAATGGATCATGTGCGCATCGGACTGTTTTTCTTATGTGATCGATCGATTTTTTGACTAGTATACTTCGATTTTAAAATTTGCGATTAAAGTCCGATTTTGAGCAAATGATTGGATAAACTATTAGCCAGCCAATAAGTTATTGTTTTTCAGTGGTCATAAATTTTAGTGTAACCTACCAAAAATTCCGATTAATCAATTCTTTGAAGTAGACTAATGAACAACGTTAAAATTTGAAATTGTCGAATATTTTTTTAATTTTTAAATAATTATTTTAAATTAACCACAATCAGTCACCAATCGGTCACCAATCAGGTGGTTGGAAAATATTTGAATCTCATGAGGAATTTATTTTATTACTTTATAACAAAATTTGCGGTGATCATGCAATAAAGTTAAAAAGGGTTCATTATACTGTATATAATAAAACTAGTAGTGAAAATTTTTTTTGTGTAATTTTTACTTTTGTACGTTTTCTTTTTTGCATAATAGTAAAAAAAAGGAACTTACCTTTCTTATGTCTAAACTTTTGTATTTTAGTCGATAATTTGATTAGCATACATAACTGTTTTTTAATAAACATGTCCAAAGCGTCCGATTATCGTGTCATTGTTGGTATCGGTAAGTAATGTATTCGTTTACGTCCACTTACTTATATTTAATATATTATTATAATCATTATTTTCGTTACAAATTTTATAGATTTTGGAACCACTCATTCGGTATTTTATTTTTAAAGATTTTTGTTATTATTCAATACAAAACAAAGTGTTAATATCATTTTGATTTTATCAAGGGTTTCGCATACACACACGTAAGAACTCAACTAAATGAAATTATTACACATACAGATTGGCAAGATTATGCTGGACGATTTAAAGTTCCAACAGTATTATTATACGATGACGATCTTAAGAGTGTTCAATCGTGGGGATTTTCTGCATTGGCCAAGCGACCAAAAAGAAAGAAAGTAATTGATAAAAAACCTGTTGAATTATTTAAATTACATTTAGGAAAAATGTCAAACAAACCTCCTTTACCAAATGGGCTTGATTATAAAAAAGCTATTACTGATTATCTCCATGAATTTGGTAAAGTTGTAAAAAATAAAATAGATGATTGTTGGAAAGTTAACTTTTTCACTCAAGTTTTATTTATTTTTACGGTAAATTAAATTTATTTATTTTTTTTATGAATTTTGTCATCAAATCTATTAAAGATAATTATTTAAATATAAAAGATTCCCACTGAATTTGATGATAATGCGATTTCGATTATGAGAGAATGCATATTTAAAGCAGGATTATTGAAAGATCAGTATGCTCGAAATTTGAGATTTATAACAGGACGTATGTACAATTTATCGTACGCATCACGTGTTATTTATACATGGAAATAAAAACTTTCGTTATTTAAACAGCCGAAGCTGCCGCGATTCATTGTATGAAATATTTAAAGGAACATAATTTGTCAGTTGGTGGTAAGTAGGAAGTACTTATAAATTAGTAATTGAAATTATTTCTTTTATTAATTCTTTTTGTTTGTTAGCAAACTTTATGATTGTTGACTGCGGAGGTGGTACGGTAGATTTAACGATAAGTCAACTTTTGGAGGGTGAAACATTAAGCGAAATTATAGAAGGAAGTGGAGGTTATTGTGGTGGTAATTTTGTAGATCAAGAATTTCTTAAATTTTTAGAAAGTAAAGTTGGAGCAAATGCAATTAGTCAAGTTAGAGAAAATCATTATTGTCAACTTCAATATATGGTACAAGAATTTGTTAGATTGGTTAAAATGAAATTTACCGGAGATCCATCAGAATTTGTGGATACCGAATTGGAATTAGACGGTAATACATTTAAACGATGATTAATTAAAAATTATTTACTTTACTAATTTAAATTTATTTTTTTAGACATTTGTCCTGTTATAAAACAGTATTGTAAAGGAGAATATCTTGATAAGATGGAAGAAGATGAATGGACTATCATTTTAAAATTTGATAACGTTAAAATAATGTTTGATCCAATTGTAAAAAGGATTATTCAATTAATTGATACTCGATTACATTTGATTAATAATAATTGTTCTGCAATATTAATGGTTGGTGGATTTAGCGAGTCAAAATATTTACAATCAAGAATTAAACAAGAATTTAGTTCAAAAGTTAAACTTATTACTATACCACCTCAACCTGTTAGTGCTATAATGAAAGGAGGTGAGAATGTAGAAAAATAATTATCTTAATATAATTTTTGATTGTGAATTACGATGCTAACCATTTTATTTGTATTAGCTGTTAAATATGGCTTGATGCGTGGTAATTTAAGATTCTTCTGTGTGTTTTTTCAAAAATAATAATAATTTAAACTTTTCATTAATCCAAAAAAAAAACTCCCTTTTTTATGACATACTCAAAGTGCCCTATATCTCACATGATGAAGCAATTCAATCTTTATATAATGAAGAGAAAATACTTCAAGATGAAATTCATAATAATATTAAACAGTATAAATTATTATATAATAAGTTACAAAAAAGATATGCGGATTTAACAAAAAACATGGAACAACATCAAGTAATTGTTAAAAAGTTGAAAAATGAAAACGAGAAAATTAAAGAAATTAATCAAACAAACCGAAGTAAAATCGAGTCACAAGAACAAATGATTAATCAATCGCGACAAACTTTAGAATTAAAAGAAAATCAATTACAAAATTTAGAAAAAGAAAAAGTGGAATTAGATATTAAAATTGAGAGTTTACTTCAAAAAAATACAAATTTAGATACTCAATTACAAAATGTTGTTCAACAAAATGCTTTGTTGGATAAGGAAATTAATGACCTTAATGATATTAATCAAAAGCATCAGCAAAGAATTGATCGTTCACAACAGTCTTTAGAATTGGTAAAAAATCAAATGAAAAATTTAGAAAAGGAAAAAGATGAAGAAATCAACAAATATAAGCTAATGAGCGATGAATACAAAGAGAAATATACGGAACTATTAAATATAATAAATAATAACAATGAAAAGACAAATTAACATGATATAATAATTCTTAAATTCCACGATTAGAAAATCAAAATAAGAATTAAATGATAATATAAGAAAGCGGTTTTAGGAAACGAATCACTACTATTTTCAAAGCACCGAAAAACATTTTCGTCTTGAATAGGATATTATTAAACGAATTTCATTTTCGACATTCATTGAGTAGAAGCACGTCATTTTTATTGATGTGTTTGATATCGGGTTAATTTTTACAACTTTTTCTATTATTTGCAAATACTCTTTTACAATTTCTTGAAAATTTTTTAATAAAAATCTCTAAAAAAATTTGTGCATAGCAATTTCTTAATTTTATTGATGTTTCTTAACTGACTTAACACCGGCGGGTAATGAATTTTATTCGTAGCAAATTCAAATTTATTTATAGTATAAAAATCAATTATCCAAAGACTGTTTATTGTTGTTCAATTAATAAAATTAATAAAATAATAACTTAATATACTTAATAACAAACATAAGAATTATAACTTTTTTACGTGTTCTAAAAAAAGTCAATCACGAACGTGAGAATTTTTTTTTCCTAAACAATGTTCTAAGTCATCAACTTAGATACATTTTTGTCATTGTTTCTCGATAAATATAATTGGAATGAATAAGGTAGATCATTACAAATCAATTTAAATATAAAGAAAATTCGATTGCTATTTCATAATTTATTAAATACTAAATTTTAAATAAAAAAATGAATGAAAATGATATACAAAACATTCCACATGATAATAATCAATCACTTGATGAAGAGAAAAAGCTTCAAGATGAAATTCATAATAATATTAACTTATTATATAATAAATTACAAAAAAAATATACGGATTTAACAAACAAAAACTTGGATCAACATCAAACAATTGTTAAATTGAAAAATGAAAACGAGGAAATTAAAGATATTAATCAAAAAAATCAAAGTAAAATCGAGTCGCAAGAACAAATAATTAATCAATTAAGACAATCTTTAGTATTGAAAGAAGATCAAATACATAAGTTAGAAAAAGATAAAGGTGAATTAAGTACTAAAAATGATAATTTACTTCAAAAAAATACCAATTTGGAGAATCAATTAAAAAATGTTGTTCAACAAAAGGTTTTATTAGATAATGATATCAGTGACCTTAATGATATTAATCAAAAACAACAGCAAAGAATTGATCGTTCACAACAATCTTTAGAATTGGTAAAAGCTCAATTAGAAGATCTTACTAAACAAAATGCTATATTAGAAGACGAAGCGTCAAGTTATCAAACTGCTCTCGGTGTAGCTACAAATTTTCAACTAGGAGATGATGATCAAAATTATGCTGTGAATTTAAATGGAGATATTTTAGAATTAAACGACAATATAAAGAAATATGTAACAAATTTAAAGCAAGATATTGCTGTTAATATGGAAGAAGTTAAAAAACTTTTATTACATTATAACTGTCCAACTAGAATCCAGAGTCAAAAAGTAGATCGACTACTTATTCAAGCAGTTTTACATCGGCACGTCATGGAAAAAATTTTCGAATATGCAAGTCAATATTTTCAAAGCACAGGAAAACATTATCATCTTGAATCGGACATTACTAAAAATGAATCCACATTATCCTTATTATTAATTGATGCCTCCAAATGTCGTTCTGGAAATGATGAAGTAACGCGCGTTGGACCATCGAAATTACGTCAACAAATCTATTCGGTCCTTAGCAATCGCGGATTTGCCGATATTATTGGAGTAGGCAATACTCTTCATGAACACCCTTTCATTGCTTACCATAAAGAAAAATTAAACAAAATTATGAATGAACTACGTGTGATCAATATTAATCAAAAGAAAATCACTTCTGAAAATTTGGCAGCGACTATCATTCGTAAAGTTGTAAAGATATTTTGGTTTAGATTGAAAGTTCAGGAACCTGTTGTACAATATCGTTGGATTCAGAATAATACATTAGTGGATAAAACATTAATGGAAGTAGCTAATTTGTATGATAAAGATGAAGTTGTAAATTCATATGTTGATTTATGTTTCTTCCCTTTAATTGGAAGAGATATTGATTCAGGTAATAGAAAAATATATACTCTTGCAAAGGTAAGAGCATCAACAAGACAACAACGAAACTACTAAAATAGCGTTGTCAATCAAATTCTATAATAAAAGAAGATATCTTTGAGTTTATCTGCGTAGTAAATTATTACATCTCTACTTATAGTACTGTACATGTTGCATGTTATGACTCTCACTTATTCGATTCAAAATAAAAAGAGAAAAATTAACATATGTACAATAAGTATACAGTAAACTGGTTTTTTACTTACAAATTGATTATTCTTAATTTATTATAATGAGAGATTCAAAAGAATTTCTTACATAATTCATTGTCTTTTGATTTATCATATTAAATTGTTCATCTATATTACATCTTTGGTTTAATTTTCAAATAAATCGAATGAGAACTAATTCAATAACTAGCTTTAACACCACTACTCATCAACGTTCGGTGAATCCTTTGATTTTACGCGAATTAAAGAGCTGATATAAAAAAAAAAATGAATGAAAATGGATGTCGGGATTTTGTCCGACATCGACAAAATATTCCACATGATAATAATCAATCACCCTATATTAAGTATAATGAGGTATAATGAGGAGATCCAATCTTTTAATGAAGAAAAAAAGTTTCAAGATGAAATTCATTATAATATCAATTTATTATACAATAAGTTACAAAAAAAAATAAACGGATTTAACAAACAAAAACTTGGATCATTATCAAACAATTGTTAAAAAGTTGAAAAATGAAATCGAGGAGATTAAAGATATTAATCAAAAAATTCAAAATAAAATTGAGTCACAAGGACAAATAATAAATCAATTACGACAATCTTTAGTATAAGATCAAATACAAAGTTAGAAAAAGATAAAGGTGAATTAAGTACTAAAAATGATAATTTACTTCAAAAAAATACCAATTTGGAGAATCAATTAAAAAATATTGTTCAACAAAAAATTTTATTAGATAATGAAATCAGCGACCTTAATGAAATTAATCAAAAACAACGGCAAAGAATTGATTGTTCACAACGATCTTTAGATTTAGTAAAAGATCAAATACAAAATTTAGAAAAAGAAAAAGAAGAATTAGAAGCTAAAAATAATAACTTAGTTCAAAGAAATACCAATTTAGAAATCAATTTGATCTTGCTAAGCAAAATGCTTTATTTGAAGATGAAGTATCGAATTATCAATCTGCTCTCGGTGTGATTATAAATTTTCAATTAAGTGATGATGATCAAAATTATGGTGTAAAATTAAATAATACCATCTCGGAATTAAATGATAATATAAAGAAATATATAATAAATTTAAAGCAAGATACTGTTGTTAATATGGAAGAAGTTAAAACTTTATAAATGTTCAACTAAAATCACGAGTCAAAAAAAAGATCGGTTAATTATTCAAGCGGTTTTACATTGTCATGTTATAGAAATAATATTTTCGTATGCTTCACATTATTTTGGACAGATAGAAAAACATGAAGCAGAATAAGCAGATAACGTTATTAAGAATGAACTTTGTTATCAGAATTATTGGCTCATACCTCTAAATGTCGTGCTGGAGATGATGTCATGATGAAATAACACGTATTCAATTCTTAGCAATCGTGGATTTGTCAACGTAATTGATAACAAAGGTGAAAATGATGAACACCCTTTTATTAATTCTCGTAAAGATGATCTTAACAAAGTTATGAACGTACTATCAATGATAATGAGAAAACAATTATTTCTGAAAATTTTGCGGCGACTATCATTTGTGAAGTTGTGAGACTATTTTGGTTTAGATTAAAAGTCCAAGAACTGTCACCGAGTATCTCTGGATCCCAAATAACACTAAAGTGGATCAAACAATTATGAAAGCAAATGATGATGATGATGATGATGCGGATGTCGATACATAAGTCGATTTATGTTATTTCCCTCAAATAGGAAAAGATTTTGATACAAAAAATCCAAAAACTCACACTCTTGCAAGAGTCATTGCAACGAAACTTTCAATACGATTATCAAATTCTAGAGAATATTCCACAACAATCAGAGAATCAAGATCAAGAACCATCAACTAAATTCAAAGGCAAAGAAATGGTTCTCTATTGATGAGTTTTTTGTCGGTTTCAAGGGTTATTAATAACAAGTTGAGATTTTAACATTTTGATGTAGTGTTGCTTATTTGTATGTGCTGCTATGCATTATCTATTGATTAAAAGTTTTTAAAAAATAGGTTTAAGTCGAATCAACGAATCAGATGGCTAATTTCAAAAAAAATCTTGTGACAAGATCTTAATGATCTTTAATATATAATTAATAAATATGCAATACGATTTACTTGGCCTTGATATGAACGTGTGATTGATTACGCATGAGGCATGAATATTTTTATAAATTTGTAATTTTTTAAATATTACGCTAAATTGAACTTTAACTCTAATACAATTTCTTAACACGAAAATTTAGGCAAAAATTTGAAACTTGAACTTTATTATCAAAATATAAAATACAACATAAAATATAATTCTAATTCTTGTAGTACAAATAAATAAACGAAAAGTAAATAACCCGTTGTAAGAAAAAGATAAAACTATTTTATTGGCTGATGTTCACGTGAGTGTGACAGAAAAACACCCGTGTCTACAAATTTTTTCATAGCGCCTTAGCGTATCATTTTTAGTTCGTTGTTGGATTTACATAAACTTTTGCGGGAAAATAAATTTTTCGATTATTTGACGAGAGATTTCTTCCAATTAAAGGGAAATAACATAAATCAACAAATAGATTTAAATTGCCATTGTCATCCAAATTGTTTCCTTCCATAAAAGTTTTATCCACTTTTGTATTATTCTGAATCCAAAGATATTGAACAGCAGGTTCCTGAACTTTTAATCTAAACCAAAATATCTTTATGACATCACGAATGATAGTTGCAGCCAAATTTTCAGAAGCAGATTTCTTTTGAATATCTTCAATAATACGCAATTCATTCATAATATCATTTAGTTGTTCTTTATAATAAGCGATGAAAGGATGTTCATAAATAGCATCTCCAACGATATCAGAGAATCCACGATTATTAAGAATTGAATAAATTTGTTGACGTAATTTTGTTGATGCGGTAAGAGTCACTTCATCATTCCCAACACGACATTTAGAAGCGTGAGTTAATAATAAGGATAAAGAAGATTCACTTTTAATAATATCAGCTTCAAGATGATAATGTTTTCCAGTACTTTGAAAATATTGTTTCGCATAATCAAATATTTTTTCTATGATATGACGTTGTAAAACTGCTTGAATGAGTAAACGATCATCTTTTTGATTCAAGGTTTTAATTGGACATTTATAAAGAGATAAAAGATTTTTAACTTGTTTCATATTAATAACAATATCTTGTTTTAAATTTGTTATATATTTTCTTATTTTATCATTTAATTCTGAAATATTATTATTTAAATTAACAATATAATTTTGATCATCATCACCACCTTCCGATTGAATAATAGTAGTATTAGAATTTATAACTAATGAATCATTTTGTTGAAAAATTTTAATTTGATTTTCTAAATTTAAATTTTTTTGATATAAATTATTATTTTCATTATCTAATTTATTTTTTTCTTTTTCTAAATTTTGTAATTTATATCTTAATTGATTAATTAATTTTTCTTGTGAATCAATTTTATTTTGTTGATTTATATTTTTATTCGTTAAATCTATAAATTTTTCTTGTAATTTATAATATAAAGAATTATATTGATAAAAATATTTATTTATATCATCTTGAAGTTTTTTCTTTTCAATATCAAATAATTGAATTTCTTCATTATTATTGTTGTTGTTGTTATGATTATTATTATTTAAAATAGTAAAAGATTTTTGATTATAATTATTCTTTCTATCATCATCATCATCATTATTTTGTGAAATATAATACATTTCTGTTGGAATTGGCATTTCTGAATAAATATTATTTTCATTTTCTAATGAGAAATTATTATTATTTGATAATTGATATATATCTTGTATATCATTTTCATTTGATGTTGTAAAGATTTTTTCATAATTATATCTTTTATTCGTCATTTTTTTTTTTTTTTTAAACAAAGAGGCAAGAGCGAATATAATTTTTTTTTTTAATTTTGATAATTGGATAAAAAATAATTTATATATGATATAGGTTTATATGAAATTTAAATTACATATGATTTTTAAAACTAAATATTTATTTATAGATTATGCAAAGTTCTGCAATTTTATACGTTATCTTCTTAATAAATCCAAAAGAGGGGTCATTATATTTTATCAAAGTACAATGAACTACTTCTTTGCAGGACATCGCTTCAAAAAGAATAGGAAAAAGGTTCATTGATGATTGGATTTGACATTGATTTAGGACGAACGATTATCATATGCATTATCATGTTTGTTTTTGGTATGGTAAGTAATTAAGTAATTTATAGTACTCATTTATTATTATTTTAATCTACGCCGATAATTTTTTGTGGGAATTAGTACGAACAATATCACGTCACGACGTCACGTAAAATCGATATATTCGATTAAAGGGTTCTAATTAAAAAAAATAAATGTTAAATGATCAAAAGGAATTATAAACATAAATATGGATAATTGATATTTATATTCAAGTTATTAATATATTTTAAACGGTGAGTAGATTTAATTTTTATAAATTTTGCTACGAAATTTGCTGTCTGGCAGTAAATGATCCTTCTCTGCAAAAATATTTGACGAATCACTAAACGTTACCAAATGTCCAAATCTAATCTAAACGTTAAATATACCAAATGAATCCTATTCACCGAATGTCGCTTTATCTGTTATATACAGTAATTAATAGCGTTAAAAATTTGTAATGTAAGAAATAAATCATACCAAATTTTGTCTAAAATTATTTGATTGGATGATTCTTTATTATCGTGCAATAACTACTTATTCTACATATAAAACTAGGTGACAGATATAAACGATCCCTATAAAGTTCCCTTCACTTCAACTTCATTTGTTGCATAAATTGGCTTAATTTCGATCCACTAGACCCACTATTCCCATCACGTCCCATCACGTTCAGAAGAGTTTGTTTAGTCTGTTCGAAAATTGAAACATTATCATCATCGTTATTTTCTGCATTCATCGAATTTTCTTGACGTAGTAAAACTTTTGCAGGAGTAAAAACTTTAAAATCATCAGAATCAGAAGTTTTAAAAATCAGAGGAAATGAACAAATTTCAACAACCATATTTTCAACATTATCCTCGTCCCAACTACCTTTCATGTAAGATTTATTGAACTTTTCGTTATTTTTAATCCAACGATATTGAGCTATTGGTTCTTGAATAAACAAATGGAAATAAAAGGTTTTAATGACATTTCGAACTAAATCTTCTGCCATTTCATTCACGTAATTGTTCTCTTCAATATCTTTAATTATACGATATTTATTTATTACTTCGTTGATTTTTTTAGATATCATATCAACAAAATTATGTTTAGAATTTTCACCATCAGATTGTTTAATATTATTAAATCCTCGTATACTAAGAGCGTTATAAACATGTTGACGTAATCTTATCAACATAAGATTAGTTAAATCGTTATCACCAAGTCGTTCATTATGAAATTTTTTCATCAAGTTAGTCAATAAAGTAGTTTGAGAGATTATGTTTGATTCTAAATGATGTTCTTTACTGGAACACGTAAAATAGAAATCCGATTGTTTAAGTATTTCTTCAAGCACGTGACGTTGTAAGACAGCTCTGATAAGTGATTTGTTCGGTTTTTTATCGGAAATCACAGTTTGACATCCATATTTAAGTAAAAGTTCCTTTACTTCATTTATATTAATATCTATATTAGATTTCAAATTTGTAACATAATTATCTAAAGTATTTTGTAATGATAAAATATCTTTGTTAAGTTTGATATTAAGTTTTTGATAATCGTCATTTAAACCAAAATTTGTTGCTGTTATAATAGCACATTGTGCTTCTTCTTTTAATAATAAATTTTGTTGAAAAAGATCTTTTAATTGATTCTCTAAATTTTCATTTTTAATATTTAAATTTTCAATTTTATTATTTAATTTTTCATTTTCATTTTTTAAATTTTGGATTTCATTATTTTTTAATTCCAAATATTGTTGTAATTTATCAATTCTTTGCTCTTGTGAATCAATTTTGATTTGTAATTGTTGACATTCAGTTTCTTTGGTATCATTGAATTTTTTAATAATCATTTGATGTTCTTTATGTTCTTTACTGGTTTTATTTTTTAAATCTTCATATTTCTTTCGTAAATCATCAATATTTTGTTCATACAATTTTATTTTGTTTTGATATTTATTGTTCTCATTTATCAAGATGTTATAATTATTGTCTAATTCATTATATAATATTTTGAATTGGTCAAAATTATCATTAGTTTCTTGAATTTTATCTTTAAGTATTTCATTTTCATTTTTTAGATTTTGGATTTCATTATCTTTTAATTCCAAAGATTGTTGTAATTGATCAATTCTTTGCTCTTGTGAATCAATTTTGATTTGTAATTGTTGACCTTCAGTTTCTTTGATATCATTGAATTTTTTAATAATCATTTGATGTTCTTTATGTTCTTTACTGGTTTTATTTGTTAAATCTTCATATTTCTTTTGTAAATCATCAATATTTTGTTCATACAATTTTATTTCGTTTTGATATTTATTGTTTTCATTTATCAAGATATTATAATTATTGTCTAATTCATTATATAATATTTTGAATTGGTCAAAATTATCATTAGTTTCTTGAATTTTACCTTTAAGTATTTCATTTTCATATTCAAGTTTAATAATTTTATCTTTAAGTATTTCATTTTCATCTTCAAGTTTAATAACATTAAAAGAATCATCCGAATATTGTTCGTTATAATTATCATTTTGCAACCATAGAGCATCATCATCATCATCAGGTTGAATTTGCATATTGTCTATATTGTCTTCATGTTCGTTACTTGGATTAAAATACATATCTGTCGAAATTGGCCTTTTTGAATAAACATCTTCAATATGATCAATATGAGACATTATTCTCTTTGCGTGAGATTTTTAAAAAAAAATTTATTTTTTTTACGAACAACTTCGATTGTGCACGTGAAATTGGAAATTAATATAGTGTATATAAAATATTTACGTATTTACGTATAAGTATTATTGTTGTATATTTATACAGTGTATATATATATATATTTGAAATTGATAATGCATAAATTCTAATAAAGGTTCATTAATTACTAGTCCGCATGTGAACGATAGGCTAATTGAAAAAACCATAGATTTTAGTGGCGGCGCAGATCATTTTAAAATTTATTTTCGCTGAGTTATTTTAACTTAAAAAATCCGTATTTTTTCAATTAATTTTTTTTTTTTAAAAGAATATATTAAGAATATACAGTATTAATACAGTAAAAGTATGCATGTAAATATAAAATTTGAGGCTTTTCTAACCGGTAATTTTTATAAGGAAAAAAAAAAAAAAAGGTGGCGTCAAATTTATTCAAAATATTTACCAAATTTTGACTAATTGACAATGTTTAGGAATTTTAAAGTTTTTATAGTATTTTTTTTTTTTCAACAAAAAATTTTAAAGTAAATTGATTAAAAAATTGACTCAGGAAAAAATCCATCATCACATGCGGATCGGCAATTGAATTTTAAGATATGCGTGAAAAAAAAAAATTTATTTTAAGTGATGATTTTCTTCATTCAGAGCTTGTTTTGTAATCTTTTTGCATGATAGAAAATGAAAATGATTGTTCGAAATTGTTCGAAAAGAGAACTTAAATTATTATTATTTTTTTTTTATTTAAATAAAATAATTTTTAATTATATATCTGATATATATTTTTTATTTTATTTTATTTTAAAAATTTAGATAATGAATACATATATATATATGATATAAAATATACACTACAAAGATTTTCGGTTTTCGTTGATCATGTGATTTAACCATTTTTTTTTTAAACATACAATATATACAATACTGATATACAATATTGAATTCTTCACATTTTTCGGTTTAAAATATGGAATATTATGATTATCGTGTTGTTGTTGGTATCGGTAAGTTTTAAAATACATTCATTCGCGTTATTCATTCACGTTATTCATTCGCGTTATTTATTCGCGTTATTCATTCGAGTTCATATAAAATAATATTTAATGATAAAAATATATTTTTCTTTAATTAGATTTCGGAACCACTCATTCGGTAATTTTTTTTACAACGTATTTCATTTCATAAAGTCATTAATATATTATATATAAAACTTTCCATTTTCTTTTTTCTTTTTTCTTTTAAGGGTTTCGCATACGCACATAAAAGAATTAAAACTATTATTGTACATTCAGAATGGCAAGAATATTATGGATTATATAAAATTCCAACAATATTATTATATGATGATAAATATGAAAAAGTTCAATCATGGGGTTTTAATGCTTTAAAAGAAAATATTGATAATAATAAAAAACCTATTGAATTATTTAAATTATATTTAAGTAGAATGAAAAATAAACCTTTTTTACCAAATGGTTTTGATTATAAAAAAGCTATTATTGATTATCTTCATGAAATGGGTGAAATTATAAAACATGTTATAATAAATGATTGGATTGATTTTTATAATCAAGTTTTAATCGTTTTAACGGTAAGTACTTGAAATATGTTTTTTTTTTGAAAAATAAAATTTATATAACTTATATATATTGTGTGTGTGTGTATTTTCTTTTAGGTTCCCGTTGAATTTGATCATACTTCAATTGCTATTATGAGAGAATGCGCTTTTAAAGCAGGATTATTGAAGGATCAATATAGTCGAAATTTGAGATTTATAACTGAGCGTAAGTTTGAAGGGTTGAATCATCAAAATGTTATTTTCAATTGATTAATTGATTTTTAAAAAAATCTTTTTTCTAGCTGAAGCAGCTGCGATTCATTGTATGAAATTTTTAAATGAGAATTTATCAGTTGGCGGTAAAGTAATCAATCAATCAATAATTTCAGTCGATTAGGAATATGCGGGATTTTTACTGATCGATATTAATTTTTAAATAATTTTAATAATTTTATTAGAAACATTTATGGTGGTTGATTGTGGAGATAATACAATAGATTCAACAACTATTCTTTTCTTGGAAGATGAAGAATTAAATATAATGACGGAAAGAAGTAGAAATGATTGTGGTGATAATTTCATAGATCAAGAATTTCTTAAATTTTTAGAACTTAAAGTTGGATCTACTACGATTAATCTTGTTAAAGAAAATCATTATGATCAACTTCAATATATGTTAAAAGAATTTTATAGAAAAGTTAAAATGGATTTTACGGGAATTCAATCAGAATTTCGTCCTATCGATTTGGAATTAGATGGTTGATATATTTTAAATATATCTGATATTTGATTGGAAAAATTCACCCGATGGTGATCATCACCGTACCAGAATTTCCACGCTAATTTTGTTAGTGGTGATCATCACTTGGTGATATTTGTAGCAATAATTTAATAAAAAAAATTAACGTGAATATTTTTTTTTTTCCTTTAGAACTTTGTCCCGCTTTAATACAATATTGTGATGAAAAATATCTTGATAATATGAGAAAAGTTGAATGGAATATCAAATTAAAATTTGAAGATATTAAATCAATGTTTGATCCAATTATAGAAAAGATTTTAAAATTAATTGACCGTTCAAATAATAATAATTGTAATTTATTATTATTAATTGGTATATTAAGTGAATCAAAATATTTAAAATTAAGAATTAATCAAGAATTTAATAATAAAATACCAATTACTTATGTACCACCTAATCCTATTACTTCCATTATGGAAGGAGGTAAACATTATTACATATTTTAAACTGTTAATTCAAAATTTTTTTAATTCATATTTTTTTTTTTTTAACTCTAACTTTTTTTTAACTCAAACTTTTTTTTTTTTTTTNAACGAATTATATTATCATGAAAATCAACTTTACGTTGAATTTTTAACTAAATAAATTCAAATATTAAAAATAAATATAATATATGCTGGATTTTTTTTTTTTTTTAAAAAAAAAAATGTATTATATATTAGCTGTTCAATATGGGTTGAAATGGATTTATGGTGAGTATATTAAATTTTTTTTCGTATATTAATTACAATAATTGATCTTTTTACTTTTTTCTTATTAAATTTGTCATTGACCTTTTTTATTTTTTTTTTAATGAAGATCCTGAACGTAATAGCGATGGCGGTGCGTTAGTGAGTGCTGCGCCATATATCAACAATATGCGGTTTCAATTAACACAATCATATGATACTATCAAAAATCTCGAAGAGGAAAAGAAAAAGTTTCAAGATGAGTTTCATGAATCTAATAATAATTTAAACGAATATAAAATATTATATGATAATTTAATGCAAAAATATGATGAATTAGTGAATAAATATGAAGAAAAAGAACAACGTTTAAATAATATTCAGATTAAATCTTCTGATACCATTAAGAAACTTGAAGAAGAAAAAAACAAATTCCAAGAAGAAATTCAAGAATCAAATAATGACTTAAATGAATATAAAACATTGCTCAATAATTTAAAGAAAAAATATGATGACTTAGTGAATGAAAACGAAAAATATAAAGAACGAAAACAGGATATAAATGAAATGCAGTTTCAATTTTCTGATACCATTATGAAACTTGAAGAAGAAAAGAAAATATTCCAAGAAGAAATTCAAGAATCAAATAATAATTTAAATGAATATAAAACATTGCACGATAATTTAAAGAAAAAATATGATGACTTAGTGAATGAAAACGAAGAATATAAAGAAAAAGAACAACGTCTAAATAATATTCAGATTCAATCTACCGATACCATTAAGAAGCTTGAAGAAGAAAAGAAAATATTTCAAGAAGAAATTCAAGAATCAAATAATAATTTAAATGAATATAAAACATTGCACGATGATTTAAAGAAAAAATATGATGACTTAGTGAATGAAAACGAAGAATATAAAGAACGAAAACAGGATCTAAAAGAAATGCAGATTCAATCTTTCGATACCATTAAAAAACTTGAAGAAGAAAAGAAAATATTCCAAGGAGAAATTCAAGAATCAAATAATAACTACGATAATTTAAAGAAAAAGTATGATGACTTAGTGAATGAATATAAAGAAAAAGAACAACGTCTAAATGATGTTCAGATTCAATCTTCTGATACCGTCAAGAAACTTGAGAAAAAATTTCATGATGATATTCAAGAATCTAATAATAATTTAAACGAGTATAAAACATTGTATGATGATTTAAAGAAAAAATATGATGACTTAGTGAATGAAAATGAAGAATATAAAGAACAAAAACAGGATCTAAAAGAAATGCAGATTCAATCTTTCGATACCATTAAAAAACTTGAAGAAGAAAAGAAAATATTCCAAGAAGAAATTCAAGAATCAAATAATAACTACGATAATTTAAAGAAAAAGTATGATGACTTAGTGAATGAATATAAAGAACAAGGACAACATCTAAATGATATTCAGACTCAATCTTCTGATACCATCAAGAAACTTGAGAAAAAACATCAAGATGATATTCATGAATATGATAATAATCATAAATCATTATATGATAATTTACAAGAAAAATATATAGAATTAACGAACAAAAACAATGAAGAGTCAAATCAACATGAAAAATTAAAAAATGAAATGCATCAAATTAATAATATTAATCAACAATATATTGAAAAAATTGATCAATTACGACAATCTTTAGAATTGAAAGAAAATCAAATACAAGATTTAGAAAAAGAGAAAGAAGAATTAGATGCAAAGAATTCTAATTTATATTATCAATTAGAAAATCTTATTCAACAAAATGAATTATTAAAAAATGAAAAAAATGAATTATTATTAGATGATGATAATCAAAATCATATTTCAGATTTAAATAATGATATTTCAGATTTAAATAATAATTTAAAAAAATATATAACAGATTTAAAGCAAAATGTCATCATTAATATGGAACAAGTTAAAAAACTTTTATTACTTTATAAATGTCCAACCAAAATCACGAATCAAAAAGATGATCGATTACTTATTCAGGCAGTGTTGCAACGTCATATCATAGAAACGATATTTTCATACGCGACAAAATATTTTCAACCGACAACAGGAAAATATCATCATCTCGAATCAGATATAATCAATAAAACATCTGCATTATATATCTCATTAACTAATATTTCAAAACAACGTACTGGAAATAAAGAAGTAACACTTCTTGCATCAACGAAATTACGACAGCAAATTTATTCAATTCTTAATAACCACGCATTCAGTGATATTATTGGAGATACTATTCATGAGCATCCTTTCATTGATTATCATAAAAAACAATTAAATAATATTATGAATGAATTACGTATTATCAAAGATGATCAAGAAAAAATTGCTTCTGAAAATTTGGCTGCAACTATTATTCGGGAATTTGTAAAGATATTTTGGTTTAGATTGAAAGTCCAAGAACCTGTTGTTCAATACGCTTGGGTCCCGTGTAATGCTAAAGTAAATAAATCATTTATGGAAGGAATAAATTTTAGCGATAATGAAAATTTGTACGTTGATTTATGTTATTTCCCTTTAACTGGAAAAGATCTTGCGTCAAGCAATAGAACGATTTATACGCCTGCAAAAGTCTTTACAAGGAAAGAATGATAACATCAAGGTCAATTACTGTAAATTAAAAATTTTTGATTTCATCTCTATACATTGTATATTTTTTCAAAATGTATAAAATTTTTATTGTATGAGATTATAAATAAAAGAAAAATACCTTTCGAATATTATCGTTAAATTAAAATTTAATGATAGTGGTGAAACGCCAAAAACGAGCAATGCGTAAAAAAATGAGTGAAATCACATGATGGTAGATCATGACTTCACTAAAATAAAAAAACGGTAAAGATTGGAACCGCCGATTCGAATTAAATCCGGATACAACAAACGAGCCGAATATAATCGGTACTTTCGTTTCGCCGAATAATCCGATATATTACCACTATTGTTGATTGAAGGAATAGAAACGGTTTATTTATAGATTTTCTTTCCTTCAGATCTTCACGTACGTCATTTCTTGTCTCAATTCTTACACTGTTTTTTGTAACATTCTACTTTCTTTTCATGCGCGAGAATTTCTCTTTCCATTATTTTAATTTCTAACCTAAATATTAATATTTTGATACACAATATGTTTCTTAATAATATTTTATATGTACTGTACGATTAAATTTTTAAACATTTCGTCGAGCCGATCTGCCGATCCAACTGATAAATGAAATTCAACTCGTTTTTTTCCGTGATGGTATGAAAAAATATCCCTTCTAAATGAAAAAAAGAAATATTTTTTTTCTCGGAAGGTGTCTAACGGTGGAACATTAAAAAAATTATTTACTGTGGATCCCAATTTTGCGTTTAGAATAAATATATTATGGTGTTACGTGATTGCTGCTAAATAACCATTATTTAAGACTGTACCGAATGGTTAACTCATGATTTTATTGTACTAGTGTCGCGACCGATCTGATTTGATTTCAAAATTCCACATATCAATGGTGGATTCTAATTTAAAGTACTAGTACGTGATCTGTCAATCATGTGATATTGAATTTAGATATGATAATCACGCGAAATGACATAAATGTTCAACATTGTTGTAATACAATGATTATTAATCAATAAATTAAAAATGTCGAAAAAAAAATGAATTAAAAAGTCTTTTAGCTTTTGGGGGGTTTTTTTTTCAAAATAGGCTGATAAATCTCATTTCCTTACTCGTTCATGTTCCTACTAACAATTTGTATAGATTGTATAGAGGGAATATTAGTCACCAAAGTAAAAACGAAGGAACTTTAATTATGGAAGTAAATAAATTAATATCAAAGCTTGTAATATCGACAACGGCAGCACAAATAATTGTGTCTGAGGCAGGTTCAGCAGCAATTCCCATTGGTGGTGGCGCAATAATGATTGGATTACAAGAAAAGAACAAGAAAGTATCCAAATTTATGGATGATGTTTTCCTTTTCACGGGTATTATTACACTTTGTCTAGTTCCGCAAAGAACAATTGAAAAGGATAGATACAATAGTAACCATAGTTATGATATTAACCATGGTTACTATAGTTTATATGATAGAAACCATGATTACCATAGTTTATATGATAGAAACCATGATTACCATAGTTTATATGGTAGAAACCATAGTTATGATAGTCATAAAGAATCAAGATTTTGGAAAATTGCGAAATTGGTAATATCCAGGATGGTATCGATAATGGTAACAAGAAAGATTGTGTCTAAGACAGGTCTGGCAGCAATTCCCATTGGTGGTGTTTTAATGGCGATTAGTAAACATGTTTCCGGACTTGTGGGAGAAATATTATACACTGTAGGTTGTGATACATTAACAAGAGGCATCTTAAGAGACTTAAGTTATTTCGGCATTGAATTTATTGATAATGAAGCAAATGAAATCACTCGTAGTAATAGGGAATGACTACAAAGCTTTTAATTGTATCTTTCGTGCAAAATTTATATGAAGATTATTGAAAGTATTTGATTTTAAAAAATGAGGAAAAGATGATAATATGAGGTTCCTTTTATAGGATGTCTTCCTATTCTAGTTTCTATTTTGGTCTTTGGAAATATCAATGTCATCATTTGGCTTTTTTTTGGCTATTTAAAAAGACTATTATTTTAGTAGAGTAATCATTACTTTTAAAAAAAAAAACGGCAAGTATTTTTTTTTTTTGATTACGAGCGCATAACCATTTAATGAAACAAAAAAAATTTTCATTTAATTTATAGCTACATATAGACGTTGCGGTTGTTACGTACAGAATTTATGATAACATTTAAGATTAAACATATCCTCTTTTTTTCTGGGAAATATTGTATTATTGATTAATCTAACGCGTGCATATGTTTATTATTTCATTAATTACCAGTATCACTGAAAATGTCTTCTAAAAGTTTATTCTCTTTAATAAAAGCTTCTTTATTTATTCTATTTTATTAAACTTGTAGTCATAAAAGATTAAATAATATATTACTTTATTATCTTATTATATTTCATATGTAACTTTTTTGCGGCTATATAGATCACAATTTCAATGTGTGTAAATTGTTAATGTCACAGTTTACCTCATCCCAAACCTATTTTTGGGCTAGGAATATATGTTGTATAGGAGAATAGTACGGGATCGAAAATTCCAATATATTTTATTTTTAGCTGTTTAATTTGTTTCATTCTGATAAATTTATACAGGTTTATATTTACCTTTTTAATTTCAGTAATAAATGCATCGCGAAAACGATAATTTATTAGGGCCGATCTGTTCTAAAACGGTTTAGTTCAAATGATAAAATGATATATAAATGCAATCAGTACAGAATCGTTTGGGAATTATGAATTATGTCATTTTTAGATTATACCATTCGTGTAGTTGTAGGCATAGGTAATTATATTTAAAATTATTAATTGAAAAAAAGAAAAATAATACGCTAATCTATTATTTTATCTCCGAATTTTAAGAGTTTGGGGTTAAATATTCAGTAAGTTTCATTTTCATATAAATTTTAAATAAAATTATCAATTATTAACTTTTTTTTTCTATTAATAACAGTCTTTCGCTTATGCACATTTATGTTCTTTGAATGATATAGTCGTAAATGATTATTGGCCAGAATGTATAGGTTGTGTGAAAATCCCAACAGTTCTAAAGTATGATGAATCATCTAACTTGATGAGTTGGGGACATTCCGCGCTATCTCAATCTCAACGATCATACAGGAAAAAGACAAGTTTTGATATAAAATCTGTAAAACTTGTAGAAAATTTTTTACTGTATTTGAGTAAAATGGAAAATAAACCCTATTTACCGGAAGGTTTGGATTATAAAACCGCCATAACTGATTATCTTAGAGAAATGAGTAATTTCGTTAAGGATACTTTACGCACACGTTGGTCAGACATTGACTTTTATAAAAATGTTTTAATTATATTACAGGTATTAAAAAATTTTCATTATTTATTTTGTCTTTATAAAATAATTTTTTTTTGTGATTTTATAGGTTCCAGTTGAATGCGACAATAAAGCTAAGGCAATTATGCGTGAGTGTGCGTATAATGCGGGTCTGATAAGCTACAAAGATAGCTCGAATCTATATTTTATAACTAAGCGTTAGTGTAACATTTCTTTATATGTTTGTCATATATATATATTGTAATTTATTAATAATTATTTTATTAGATGAGGCTGCTTCTATTTATTGTAATATGAAAGTGTTAAGAGAATTTAATATTAGTGTTGGCTGTAAGTATTCATGCCAATTAAAGATTTGTTCGCTCAAAAAATAATAGATTTAAATTTTTTGATCATTTCTTTTCTCTTAGCATCATTTATGATTGTTGATACTAGCGCCGACGCAATAGATATAATAATACGAACACTTTTAGAAAATAATGAACTTGGTGATATTTCCGGAAGGATAGAAGATCCCTGTGGTGGAAATTCTGTTGATGAAGAATTTCTTAATTTTCTTAGTCGTAAAGTTGGACAATCAGCAATTAATTTATTAAAAGAAAATCATTATGGTCAATTACAATATATGATTAAAGATTTTTGTGAAAATTGTAAATTTAAATTCACAGGTCAAGATAGAGATTTTAGCTATGAATTGGATTTTACAGGTGAAAAAAAAATATAAATTAATTTTATATATATTAGATTATTGAAAGTTTAATTAAATTAAAAAAGTACTTTTTAAATGAAAGATATATGTCGAGCTATTATTCAGTATGTCAAAGATCCCGAACGTGAACAGATGGAATATCAAGAATGGCTTATTGATGTGACATTTGAAGATATTAAAGCAATGTTTGATCCAGTGATAGAAAGAATTTTACGATTAATTAATACACAATTGAATGCAGTAAGCAGTTGCAAAGCTATACTTCTTATTGGTGGTTTTAGTCAATCAATGTATTTACAGAAAAGAATTAAAGAAGAATTTAGTCAAAAAGTAACTAATATAATTATTCCTGCAAGTCCATCGATGATAAATGTTAGAGGAGGTGAGATGTTTTATATGACTTTAATATTTTCTTTAATTAACTAATTTTTTTTATAAACTTGTCAAATAAGCCGTACAATATGGTTTAATGCTACCGGAAATGTTAAACAAGTCAACCAAACTATCTATTACCCTACGTGTTTTTGAAAAGACATATGGTAAGTTTTAATTAGTAAAACTTGTTTTTTGTCGATTGAACAAAATAGACTTTTACCTCGCTTCTATTAGGAATTAAAACTACCCGCAAGTGGAATCCTGGTGATCCAATGGAACGTAAACTTCCGGATGGAATGATTAATATTTTTTTAAGAATAGCCAAACAAGGGGATGAGATTCCTGTTAATACAGGAATTTCTATGATCTTTAGCTCAAGTTTCTTATCACGAAATAGTTTAGATCTATTTGTTACAAATGAACATGATGTGAAATATTGTGATTCTCCTGGAGTAAGTAAAATCGGTATATTGGATATTAGTACACTTAGTATACTTAGTAATAGTGCTATTTCTGTTACTTTATTTTTTGATAATATGAAAATTAAGGCTATTGTTCAAGATGTTAATGTTAGAACTGGTTGGAAATATGAAAAAGTATTTGATAATATTTATTGAATTTTTATTTATTTATTATTACTATATAAACCTAAATTTTAATATAAATTATACTGATTAATTTATATCCCTTTATAATTTTTTATTATTATTATAATAATATTCATTATTAATATCATCATAATTTTCATCATTACTACAGTCAGACCCCCATATAGTCACCTAATTGGTTCCCATAAAATCAGTGATTGTATAGGGGTGTGCTTATATACAGGTACTATATCTTAATTTTGGCCGAAATTAGTAAATTATAATTTATAAAATTATGTGATCACTACGGATATTTCCTTTTTTGGTGATAGCCATTCCACAAAATTTTTTTTGCCGATTTTGTGTTGGAATGTCGTGTAACATTAATTCCTAAAAAGGAAAGAAAAAAATTATATGTTTCATAATTCTGGGCGAAATTGCTTTTTGGCCGAAATTATGATGTGATTAATAGAGGTCTAATCACTAATAGAAATGATATATCCGTTTGGGATTATGTGGTGATAGTGATTATAGTCAAAATTGTGATTATAGAGGAGTAATTTGATAGTATTTAAAACCGTTTCTCAAAATCGAGTTCTTATAAAGAGGTATGACTGTATAGGGTGTAACTGTATGGGGGTCTAACTGTATTAGTATATACAGTCAACCCCTTTTATAAGCATCTTCTATATGAAGAATATCCTCTAGAAGGTATTTCAATATATTTAACGCTAGAGCTCCGAATGGGTCAGGTCAGGTCAGGTTAATTGATAAACCTGACCTGAAATTTTTTTTCAGGTCAGGTCAGGTCAGGTTATATCAGGTTGTCTGTTTGACCTGACCTGACCTGAAACCTGAAAAATTTCAGGACTATTTTTATTAAAGTATTGAAAAAAAACGGTACAAAACTTTTTTTTT